GAATTATGATCTCATTGCTTCCTCGCACGCCAAACTCTCGTCAAGACAAAGGAGCAACTACCAGAGTTTCCCTTGTAATCCCACATTCACAAGTCCAACGGCAGTTGGTGATAGCCCAAGAGAGATAATATGTGTAGAGGGTTGAGAGAGATGTGTCATACGTTTGACATGTTTAAAGACATATATACTAATAGGTGGTTGTAAGTTTGTAACCACTTAGATAAGCATAGTTGCATGACCTCTTAAATTGATTAGGAGATAGTGATATATATCTCCCATAATCTCCTAAACTAATTAGGAGATAGAACATATCCCTAATCAACCACCAGCGATCGGGTTAAGGCCAGTTGACCCATGTGGGCAGATTAAGGTTGGAGTTCTGGTCCAAATACCAACTCATAAAATACTAACATAGAACATGGTCATTGTCCGATGTAAGAGAAGTGTAAGCAGGGCCGGCCCGAGTCAATCGAAGGTGGTAGGCGATGATGCTTCATTAATTATAATAATATATAATATATTTTTATTTTTATTAAATATTAAAATATATTTATTTAAAAAAATCTTGTTATTTGAGATGCCAACTTACAATTTAAATATACNACATGGTCATTGTCCGATGTAAGAGAAGTGTAAGCAGGGCCGGCCCGAGTCAATCGAAGGTGGTAGGCGATGATGCTTCATTAATTATAATAATATATAATATTTTTTATTTTTATTAAATATTAAAATATATTTATTTAAAAAAATCTTGTTATTTGAGATGCCAACTTACAATTTAAATTTACGTATCTAAATTTTTTAGCATATTATTTAGATTTATAAAATTTATTCAATGATTAATAGTCAACAAAATAGTAAGAGACTAAATTTGAAGTTCAATATTAGACATTCTAGTGATGATATNTTAATAGTCAACAAAATAGTAAGAGACTAAATTTGAAGTTCAATATTAGACATTCTATTGATGATATTTATGCTATTATGGCAACAGAAAGAAGTTATTAACAAACTAAATTTAAATTTAAATAAATTTAACTTATTCAATGGTTATCAAAATATATATTTTTCAAGTTGATCAAAATAATTGAAAATAATATATGAAAAGAAACAATTACATAGTTTTGTTATACATGGTAGGTTCCAAGACATGAATAGTATTGTAATTAATATAATGAATATCATATTAGTATAAAACTAATAAAAACAAAAATTGACTTCGTTGAATTTGCATCTATAAAAAAAATTTAAGAGCTCGAAAAATAAATTTTGATTTGATTGAACATTGATCTAAAAGTTTTATTTGGTACCTTAAAAATCAATATAGATTTATTTAAACTTGAATCTAATTTTTTAAAAATAATTTATAGTTAAACAAATCTAAATCAATTTTTTTTTTTGAGGCTCCAAAAAATATGGAACCCTAGGCGACGGCTTCGATTGCATAGCCTAAGGGTTGGCTCTGAGTGTAAGGTTAATAACTGTAGGACTATGAATTTGAACATCGAAGTAGTCATTTCATGAAAACAATATTAGTAGGTAGGCATTGGCGTATTTGTCACACAGTTTTCAAAAAATACGTGATTTAGAAAAAGATCATCTCATTCAAAATATTCAATTAGAAAATAACTTTTATGAAAAATCCAGGATAAAACAAATAACAAGGGGAAATTTAATTTAAAAACATTGGGCTTATAACCAGTTGTAATGTGCTATATTTGAGAGCATACTAAATAATACCATACAGAATCAAAATAAAATCCATCATCATCTAACTAGAAACTCCAAAACAATAATTCCTCAGTCAAAAGGGTACATCCCAAGAACTCCAACATAGTCGAATTTCTCATAATCCAACTAGAATATATAAATTATCTCCCAATTTTGAAAGGAATGCTAAGGCAAAAATAAGTACTCCATCGATAGGCCTCAAAGTTTGGATCCACACCATGATCTATTTCAAAATCCAAATCAGCATTCTTAGTTAGGCTTGTGTTCACCTCAATACCCCCGAATCTAAAGAATGTTAAAGAAAGGGCGAGCACAACTAGTTTATCAGAGAAACTTTTCCAAATATAAATAAGATTTAAAAAATATATGAAAAATAGGTTGTCACAATTTCCAAAGAAAGTATATAGCTTTCGAATTAAGACATGTGAT